ATTCGCACCGGAGTGGATTTTTTTTTTTCGCGCGCCCTGCCTGTCTTCATCTTTGCCCTTTTACAGGCTGTTCGCGGCTGGCAGACCCAGACCCGCTCCTTTCTGGTCAGGTTAAGGCAGGAGCGATATTGGCCACTGGTGACAAGAATCAATCACCGCACGTAACGGTGTGCGCCTCCGCGAGCCTCCACTTCCAGCCTTCAGTCGGCAGGCTCCCCTCTTTTCACCCCGAGGGGAGGGCAGAGGCCGGCTGCCCCCGTCTCTCGTTTGGCAGCCCCCACAGGCTGCAGCCCTGAGCGCGAAGCGGTCCCGCTCCCTCCCTGGGGGTGGAGGCCGGGTCCTCTGCCCTAGCCCGGGGAAGGGGTGGGGGAGAGGGGCCGATTCGCTTTTCATCCCTCGTCCTCCTAAGGACAGAGAATCCCCCGTTTTCCTGCCGTTTCGTTCACCAGCTCCTGGATACCCGGAGGTGGTGGTTCTCTGAATAAAGAAAAAGACCAGCGTGCTCCGAGGTTTCGGCTCTGCCTGGTTGCAGCCGCCTGTCCCCGGGCGACCAGAGCGCCCGGTTTTGGTGCAGCGGGTCCCCCAACCCCGTTATGCGCCCCGAAGCAGGGCGCGGGCGCCCTCGCTGCCCTCGGGGACCCGCTCGGGGGGTGGGGAGTGCCCCCTCTGCGGGTTCGGGGGTGGCCTCGAGGGGCAGCGAGGCCAAGCGCCGTCTTTTCTTCTGCACCCCTTTTTCTCTCTGCGCATCCTCCTGCCCGCGGAGCCGCACGGAGCTCCTGCCACAGCCCAGACACTTAGCTCAGAGGCCAAGAGAGGACGTGCGTCCACGCTCACCCTGAGGCCTGGGGTTGCTCACAGGGGGCCTGCCTCTACGGGTGAGGACATCGCCCTCTTTCGCTTGAAGCCCAAAGCTCAGTATTCGTATTAATAATTCCCCCCTTCTTTGCCACGGACTTGCTGGCCGAGTGGGCGCAGGTGCACACAGGGGTTGAGCTTTTTGTGAGTGAGGGCTGCGCTTTCAGAGGGTCAGTGAAGGCCGCGGAGGGCAGCCTTGCGAGATAGGAGGCATTTCCAATTCCGCTTCTGGCATTCTTACGCTCAGGGATGCAGTCAGTGGGCCGACCGCGGTTTTCTTTTCCCTGGTGTTTGAGGCAGCTTGCAATCCAAGCTGGGACTTGCCAGGGATCCTGCCTTCGTGGGCCTTGGTCCATTTTCGTCTTCTCATTTTCTTTTCGTGCCCCCGCTGCGAGGTAAATAGCCCTTTTCCTCGTCCAGGAGCCGAGGGGTGTCAACCTGGGAAGGGGCCGTGGTGGGAGGCCCAGGCGAAGAGAGGGTTTGGTTTGGGAAAGTGCAGCCGCCTTTAGAGCCAGGTTAAGTTAAAATATCAGCCGTGGGAGACGCTGGCTTTCCGTTTTCCGAGGGTGCCACGACGCCGCTGAACCTCAGGGGGCGCCCCCGAGCCACTTGTCGGGCTCCTGCCATCTCCGCCGGTCGGCCTCGGCCACCTCCACGCCGCGGGGATGGGGCGTGCGTGCCCGGGTTCCGAGGCGCGGGGGCTGCGGACGCGCCTTGGCGACAGGGCGGCCTCGGCTCGGCGGTGCTGTCCCTGGATTTCTGGAAACTCGCTGGGGGGTTCGCTTTGGGTCCCCCACTTCTTGCCAGCCATAACCTCCTAAGCGTTTATCCGTTTGACATGAGGAATAAAAATGCTTTTGGTTTTGGCTAGGGTCTTCCCTGTGGATCTTAGCCACAATTTCTTGTTACTTATTTTGTCTGTTTCCTCTCAGAATCGCAGCAACTTTTTCAGTTGCGTTTGAGTTCTCAGCTCCCGTTCGGGATACCGGGTAGCTGTAGTTTGGGGAGGGTTTTGGTAGCCCAGCCCTGGCACGAGTCTTTTCCCAGCAGATCGGAAACAGTGGCTTTTAGTCTTTCAACAGCAGCATGACAGGTGTGGGATCCATGTCAGGGTTAGTGCTTCAAGAGATGCTTTCCAAGTGTAGAGCGGACGTGTTACCAAACATGGTACTGGGCATATCACGTTCAACATCTTTTTAAAAATTACTATGGGAACATGTTCAAAAGTAGAAACATATGATGGACCCCTGAATAACCCCCCCCCCCAGCTTCCACAATTATCAACTTAATCTTCTCATCTATTTTCCCCCAGCATTTTGAAACAAATCCTGCGCTTAGTTCACTTAAACTTTAGTATATACATCGCTAATCATTGGGAATTTAATTGCCTCTGACACAATATGAAATGTTGCTTGAGAGGGTTAACCTTTTATCTATTTTACATTCTC